AAAAGTTCTTTTTTTTTTCTTAAAATAGAATCATTCTGTTCTTAAATGCAATGCATAATAAAACTTCAAATTTTCTCATACCGCAGACTGTATATAGGGAAGTATAATTGACTACCAAAGACTTAGGATTTGAAATCAGAGTTCTAGGAAATTGTTTAATCTCTTTGGGCTTTAGTTTTCTCCTCTATAGAATCGAGAGAAGGATGAAAATGTACATCACAGGGTGACTGTGAAAGTTAACTTATGTACTCTACCATTGCTACTTCATCTCTCACCCTTTTTGTTTTATTTTTAGTTTTTAAGTCTATTTACTTAACTGATCTCCACAACCTGGGGCTCAAACTCACAACCCCAAGACTGAGAGTCACATGCTCCTCTGACTGAGCCAGCCAGGCACTCCTCATCTCTCACCTTCTTAACATGTACATTGTATGTAAAACTAAAAGCGGTGACTTGCGGTTCTAGAGAGGCTTTTGCTCTTCCCATCTCCCTCTTCCAAGTCTTTCATCTGGTCAGTTCTTGTTCATGCCTTAAGACTCAGCTCAGGCATCACCTCTTTTCCTTTCTTGGGCTTCATTACAAATTTTGGTTCTTCTGTACCATTTTCATAATTCCAGGTATACCTCATTGCACCTCTTTGCACATTGTATTGTAACTGTTTACTTTTCAGTCCTCTTCATTCAACTGTGAACTCTTTAAGAGTAGAGACTTGAATGTTTTGTTCATTTTTTGTACCCTAGGTCTCAAGCATGGTGCCTGGTATATATAATATTTCTTGATAGATGGATAGAAGGAAAAGAAGAAGGAATAAATGAGCACATATACCAATATGTGAAAGCATTTTGTAAACTATAAAGTGCTATGCACATATTAGTGTGGTTTTGCATTATATACCTTAATGTTGTGTTTGCCCATTTTTAGAAGGCCTTGATCCTGCTGATGTAATTCTTACATTTTGGCTATATTGTTATAGTATCCAGGGGCAGCATCTTATGTTACAGGATTATACTTCCCATGCTCTGTTTCAGCAGTTTAATTAATTAGGCTTAACTAGACTGGGTTATTAATCTATAGTTATTCACATTTCTTTTATAAAAATTTGTCACATCTGGTGGCTCAATAATGTCCATCTCAATCTTTATTGTTTCACATTTACAGTGAAACTTAAACCCCATATACATCATACTAAAGATAGATTGGACTGTTGTATCTTCCTCTTGGAGGCTACTGGGAAAAAATATGTAGTACCCCTAAATTTTGTTAGTACATTAGGAGCTTAGCATCTGATACAAAATTATGTCTGTATTAATGCCTCTCTTTGGGTTTTTCAATGGCAAGGATATTGGATTCCGACTCGACTCACTACATACCATCCTGCAACAGGAAGTCCTGTTACAAGAGGATGTGGAGCTGATTGAGCTACTTGATCCTAGTATCCTGTCTGCAGGGCAACCTCAACAACAGGAAAATGGATACCTTCCAACGCTTTGCTCCCTGGCAACCCCTAATATTTGGTACTGTCCAGAATACATCTATCCTTTGCTTACATATACAGTATTAGCAGAGGAAATCCATTATCATGCTCTCTATTGTAAATTATAAACATTCCATGCATTTTAACATTGTAATTAAGGATGACCCAGAGGTTTTTAAAAAAGTACCTTTCTCAGGGGCGCCTGGGTGACTCAGTCAGTTAAGCGTCCGACTTTGGCTCAGGTCATGATCTCGCGGTTCATGGGTTTGAGCCCCACGTCGGGCTCTGTGCTGACAGCCAGCTCAGAGCCTGGAGACTGCTTCAGATTCTGTATCTCCCTCTCTCTCTCTGACCCTCTCCTGTTCATGCTGTCTCTCTTTCTGTCTCTCTCAGAAATAAATAAAACATTAAGAAAATTTTCTTTTAAGTACATTTCTAAAATAAATACTATTTAAAATGAAGCTGGAAAAACATCCAATTATTATGTATTTTTAATTCAGTATAATTAGCTCTGTGTTTAATAACCCAACAAGCAGGCATAATGTACATTAAGAATCTCTCTTACCCATACACCTATACGCATGTGTGCATGCAGTCCTAGCCACTAGCTCTTTATGTTTTTTTAAAGTTCATAGATTATATCATAAACACATTGTAGAGACATCAAAAATAGAATGGGACATGGAAGTAAACAGTCAGTTCTTGTTTTGTTGGCTGAGAAGCCATAAGGAATATAGACTGACAATTCAGTCCTAAAACTTTCCTAATGCAGAAGTCCCAGGCCATGAATATCAAAAAGGGATTTTATATATTTATGTATATATCCATATATATATCCATATCCATATATACACACACACAATACACACATATATATAAAACCATACATATATGTATACACACACAGAACTGAACTTTAAAGTATGGGTTTATTAAATGAACAAAATCATTGCTTGAACTATTCAAGTTATATAGACGATTACATAACATTGGCCTCAGTGTTCTGAATTTATCTTTCTTGTCATGTTGACAGATGCTTCATATTGTAAGGGGTAGCAGAGATCTGTAGTCACTCACCATCATGATGGGGTAAAGAATCTTATACTTTACAAATCTAAAAATGCAAGGAGCTGTTAGAAGGAACCAGGGGTTTTAAGAATTTTACAGCTCTAACTTTTAAGTTTCCTTTAGCCACAGGTGTGATTAAGCAACCCTGAGGCCTATAAATACTTTTAGACTTCGCTATTAATGCATGAAAGTATAGGATAAGATTTTGCTTTATGATATTAGCAATATCACTTGAAAGTAAAGGATTCCAAGGGAAATTAGGACAGGTCAATATTTATTAGGAAGCATTCTTACATGCGACTTTCTTTATAATTTGATTGTAACTGTCTTCGAGTATTATTGATGCTGTTTTTTTGGATATTTTTCTAAGGCACATCTCCGTATATTCACTTCTTTCTTATTACATTTTTATCAAAGACTTCATTGCTTAAAAGATGTATTTTAGTCAATAGATTTGTAATTGGCCTAGATTTTAAATATTTCATATATACTTTTACTTAGTTAAAGCAGTGAAAAAGTACAAAGTATGTGCATATTATTGGCTGCAGTATGTGTATTCCAGATTTATGATGGTGATGATTTAATATTAGATGACTTTTATTGAAACAATTACTCAAGTATAATTTCTAATTGGAAAAATGCTTATATTTTCTTGAGATATTTGTTTAGTGCAAATAATTAAAGTCTGACTTTGGTAAAAGAACTCATCTTAATATTAAAATGTATTGTAATGTTAAAAATTAGTAAAATTATTTTTACTTTTAAATTTGTAAAATTGGATTTTATTTTTTGATTTTTTAAATACAACTTATTGTCAAATTGGCTTCCATACAACACCTAGTGCTCATCCCAACAAGTGCCCTCTTCAATGCCCATCACCCACTTTCCTCTTTCCCCCGCCCCCATCAACCCTGTTTGTTATCTGTATTTAAGAGTCTCTTATGGTTTGCCTCCCTCCCTCTCTGTAACTTTTTTTTCCCTTCCCCTCCCCCATGGTCTTCTGTTAAGTTTCTCAAGATCCACATATGAGTGAAAACAAATGGTAACTATCTCTGACTGACCTATTTCACTTAGCGCAATGCCCTCCAGTGCCAACCACATTGCTGGAAATGGCAAGATTTCATTCTTTCTCATTGCCAAGTAGTATTCCATTATATATATAAACCACATCTTCTTTATCCATTCATCAGTTGTAAAATTGGATTTTAAACTCTGTACTTAGTTTTTAGGTTAGAAGAGTCCATATTAAAAAAAAAAAGTCATTTCAGAAGACACTTACTTCTTACATTCTTTAACCTAAACTTACTAGCTTAGATTTTAATACCTAAGCACCATTATTTAGTTGCTAGATACTTTTAAATTATTTCACATTACTTGTTTAAATGTTATTTTTTAAAGTCTTACTTTACAAAGAAGCTACTAGCATTTTAGCACCTATTTTAACAAACCTAAAATACAGACTAACGTAACAAATCTTTCTCTAGTCTGATGGATATCGTGTTTCTTGGTTTCTCTGTTATAGGGATGTCTCGGTGCTGTTTGCCTTCATTAGTTTGCTCATTATGCTTCCCACTTGGTGGATTATATCTTCCTGGCTGATATGGGGCGTGATCCTATTTGTTTATCTGATTATAAGAGCTTTGAGATTATGGAGGACAGCCAAACTACAAGTAACTCTAAAAAAATACAATGTCCGCTTAGAAGATACAGCAACAAATAGCCGAGCTTTTACCAACCTTGTGAGAAAAGCTTTACGTCTCATTCAAGAAACTGAAGTCATTTCCAGAGGATTTACACTGTGAGTTCATATTTCATTTTATTTTTTAAATAATTCTTTCCTACTACATAGTTAAATTAGAATACTTATCTATTTTCATGTCTGTGTTACATTTACAGAAAAATGTAAGTTTTCTCTTTAGCGCTTATTAAAGTCTGTTAACTGTGAAGGAGTAACACATTATATGCTAGATTTAATATATAATATGATTCTGCTTATCTACTTTGAGAAACCAAAGAGCTTAGAGAATCATAATTATTTCTGTGTTACCATGTGACTTTATTATGAGTTAATATACAGGGAGAGCCTAACATTGAATCTGGCATCCAAAATTACCCAACAAATATTTGTTTCCTTTACTCTCCGCCAAACACTCTCTTTCCTCAGTTTAAATGATAGATGTATCTGACTTGAATTGATTTTGAAAAATTTTGACATGCATTAATAATATTCTTTAGGTAAACATTAGTAGATATGGCACTGATACTCTCAGAATATCAAGCAAATATTCCATTCCCACAGGAAATTAAATATTCCCCAATCTAGTCTAGTCTTAATTAAATATTAAGGTATAGGATATATAGGATATTTTTTCTGTTATTAAAAGGATAGTTATATTTATTAAGCATCAATTACGTTCCAACTACTATACTAGGTAATCTTGTATACAACAGAGCATACAGTTACACATGGTAGAGCAAAGGTTCAGGTCCATTCCATCTGACTCCAGAGCTGGTTTCTGGTCCAGTAGGCTCCCTGCTGAAAACTAACGAATGACAGTAATACTGTAGTATGTTTAATCATTGATTTAATTTATATAACCTTTGCAGTCTGTAGGTGGGAGAAAGTAAGTATATGGTGAAGAGTGATTATTACCTTTAATTACTTATATCTGGAAAATGACAAAAAGGGAGAGCAGAAGAACCTTGGGTAGTCATCTCATTCTTCACCTTGCTGTGCTCCAGAATAGCACTTAAAGAGTACTGATGGAAAAGCTCTGTCTGGAAAATCACTGAACAGGGAAGTGAAAGAATCTCCAGTAGTCACTCATTCTTCACTCTGTTGTGTTTTAGAACAGCAGGATTTAAACAATCCCAAGACAGAAGAGAGAAATATTTGTCCTTCTGTTGTAGTTAAAGTCTACTTGTTGATAGAGCATAACAAATATTAAGTTGTTTGAGCATTAGATTTTAAAAGTTGAAAACAGTGCTAAGTAATAGCTCCTTTACTTTCGTGATTTGTACAGTATTTCACTGAGAAGACTGACTGGTTAAGCTAAGTGGGTATGTGTCCAATTAATGCTTAGGCACATATAGAGGATTCTGTGCTTTTTGTCATTTTCCAACTTACATTATAGAATTATGTCTGGAATTGGCATGAAGAGCTAACATGGGACAGCTACACATGACTTACCTCCAGATTATGATTCCTATCCATTGACATGCAGTGAGGCAAAAGAAATGTTGGAAAAAATTGTTTGGCTTGTCTTCATCTAATTGGATAATGGATTGAGAAAAATTATGAGTAACAATAAATCTTGAATCATAACTTTTTTAGAAATATTTTCATCTTTAAAACTGATTTATTAGTAAAATGGAACACACACAATAGTGCCATATATTGAAAACCTGTGCTGTTTTGTTCTGTCTCAGTTTGTCCTCTCTGGCAAAGAATTTAACCATTCTTTGCTTCTTTTCTCATTTAAAGAATGGTTAAATTCTTTGCCTCATTCCCTTTTTATAAAATAAACCTATCAATGGAAACCAACTTGACAATAAACTATTTAAGAAAATCAATTAATTAACTAATTAATTAAAAATAAGCCTATCAGTCATTTGTCCTCTGGTTTTTGGGTTTTTTTTTTTAAAGATTTTTAATGCCTGAATACATTATAGTCTGCTTTAATATTTTAAAAGTTTTGAGTTAGATGTCTTGTTTTACAAATTGGTGTATAGTTATAGTATAAGAAATTTATAAATTTCAGTATTTTCTATTGCTATTGGGATTACTGGTTAGGTGAAAAAACTATTATCCAACAGCTATGTAATATGAAATCATTCTTCATTTCATTTATAAAAGCATGATATACATCATTGTTGCAAATAGGTACTCCCCATTTATCTTTTGGAAAGTACTATGAAATGTGCTTCCTCTTGAATAGTTTGGAGAGTAGCTATGCTACTACCTAGTAACCCTTCCTTTGCCTTTCTACTTGCATTCCCCTGTTGGCCACTGGTCCTGTTATCTCTCTGCGTCCCCTACTTCATTTTGAGTAGGTAAGTGCCAGTGGCAGCAGGTGGGTAAGTCATTTTACCCTACTTTTATGAATGTACAGAATGTATTTTTACAGTTTTTCATTGTTCTGTACAAGTGACCAAAACTATGAGTGATGAACATATGTAAATGCATATTAAGAATGTAAAAGTGTTTCTAATTAAAGTTTTCATACTTACTGTAGATACAGGTTTTAAAAATTAAATGTAAAATAGTACCACTTTAGTATATTTTAGTAGGTAGAATGTCTATATCAAAAAGTTGCAATGTCTTACATAAGTATTGTACATTTCTACCATATTTTGACTAAAATATATTGTTTCTCCATATCAGAAGAAGCCTTTACTCTTTGAGATTTTAATCTTTCATTTGTCTTTTTCTGGAGGGGGGGCTATATATGTATCAGGGAAATGGCTATTTATAAGACCTGAGTTGGGATATTTACAATCATTTTCTAATAAAAACCATGAAAAAGGAGGGTTTTTTTGTCTTAAGTTGAATAGAATTATGGATTTAGGAAACAAAAACTTTAGGACACCTGTACAGTTGTATCACATTTTACTTTTCAAGTTTGCTTGACAGGGTCAGTGCTGCTTGCCCATTTAATAAAGCTGGACAGCATCCCAATCAGCATCTCCTCGGTCTTCGGAAAGCTGTCTACAGAACTGTAAGAGCCAACTTTCAAGCAGCAAGGCTCGCTACCCTATATATGCTGAAAAAATATCCTTTTCTGTCTACATGTAAGAATAAATATGCTTCCAGAGTCCTGAATGTAAAGATAGTATAGTTGCATCCTGTAAAAGTTGAGTATAAACTGAGATTGCCTATTTTGTAGCTAATTTCCATCATTGCTTCTATTTTAAAACTGGAAATGCGGTCTAGGGGGAATAACAATAACAGACAGGAAAAAAAGGTTTTCTCGTGTGGCTCAATTTCAACAAGGAAGAAACTTGAAGGCCCTCCGCCCCCTCCCTTTACCGGTCCAAAAAATAAAGTCAGAAGAACCTGGCTTTGCTAGGTCTGACATTTTTAAAAGTTACTGGACACGCAAATTTGCATCATGACATGGAAATAAGCTGGTAACAGGAAATCCTTCCCCTTTCAAAAAACAGAGGCTCTCAAGTCAGATTGGCTATGTTTAAATTTTGGCTCTATCAATTACTGCCTAGGTGACCTTCAGCAAGTTTCTTAACTCTTTGTACCTCGTGTTGTTCATTTTAAAAATGGCAGTAACAACATACTCTTTCTGTGGTTTTGTTGAGTCAAATGAGTTAGTTCATATAAAGTGCTTAGATAGTGCCTGGTGTATAATAAACACTCAGAGACTGCAAGATAATACATATGTCACTTAAGTTTACTAAATCAGGAAATTCTATTAATTGGTAAATAAAGGTGTGTAGGATCTTTATTTCAGTTAAGATTCATAGTTAAGTTAAATTATGAGTATATGGAGTGCAAAAATACTTCCTTGGACCTTCAGTATTTGGGGTACTGTAGCACAGATAAATATCATGCTTAACGTTTACAGAGTGCTTTATTATGTCTTTACATACATCTTTCCAGCTAGATCTTATCTCCATTTTATGGAAAAACTGAATAAAGTCTCCATTTTGTGTGATTTGCTTGGTGTTACACAACTAGTAAGAGGTGAAGTTGTGTCTTCACTAAAGGGCTTATGTCTTAAAACCTTTTCTATATATATATGTATATATATTTTTTTTAAACTGTACTACTTCTTTGGAAATTGAAAGCATTTTAATTTTAGTCATGAACTTGTCTATTCAATTCCCCTGCTGCCTAAATACTCGCCTGCTATGTGCTAGACTTTTGAGTATACTCAAAAGATAAGCTGGAATTCATAATAAAGTAGAAGTGCCCAGGGTGCCTTCCAACATAGCAAGAGCATATACTTGGCCTATGGGGTCAGAGAATGCTTTCAAGGAGTTGACCTTGAAGATAATAAAAGTCTACATTCAAGTATAATGCAGCAAAGATATGGGGAAAAAATAGAGGTACAGTAGTATGGCATGTGAACTTCAAGTAGTTACTCATTCAGTAAGTATTTATTGAGAATAATCTCCATGCCAAGCAATATGCTAATCACTAGATCATGATGGTACACATAAGAGACATGGTCCCTGCCTCAGAGTACTTCTGGCTTAATGAGGGATAAGGAAACAGAAAGGGACAACCTAACAGATTGCAAATTTATGAGTTTCCTGTGCCAGTCACTTTTTCTAAGAAATAGAAACCCAGGAGTGAACAAACAAACAAGATCTTTGTACTCATGGCTCTTACTTCTTGTGGGTGAGATAATGAATAAAAAGTGAACAGATAAGATTTTCACTTATCTGTTGTATGAAAACCCAGCAGAATAGAATAGACAGTGATTGGTGAGTTACTGCTTTTGATTGGATGACAGGGGGAAGGCCTTCCCGAAGAGTTGACATTTAAAATGAGATTTTAGGGCGCCTAGGTAGCTTCGTTGGTGAAGCATATCGCTCTTGAGTTCTGCTCAGGTCATGATCTCACAGTTCTATGGGTTTGAGCCCCACATCAGGCTCTGCGCTGACATTGCAGAACCTACTTGGGATTCTCTGTCTCCCTCTCTCTCTCTGCCCCTGCCCCACTCACTCTGTCTCTGTCTCTCTCAAAATAAATAAACACAAAAAATTAAAATAAATAAATAAAAGGATATTTGAATGAGGAGAAAAATTATGTTCCGGTTTGATAGACCAGTGAGTATAAAGATCTTGTGACAAGAGTTATTTTAGCATGACTGGAGTATAGCAAAACGGCCATCATGACTGAAGCACAGTAAACTGGGAATTGGGGCATGAGATGACATTCAGAGGTAGGCAGGAACCAGAACATATTTACCACATGAGAAACCTTAAGGAATCAAAATGAAAAAGAATCCACCAACTATTTCTTTGAAAAGACCAATCAGTATAAACCCTCACATGCCTGGTCAAAGTAAAAAGAGTACAAATATACAAAATTAGTAATGGGAACAGAGCTGTAACCATAGATATTGAAGAAATTAAAATAATTATAAGGAGATAGTATATACAATTTTGTGGCAGCAACTTTTAAAAAAGAAGCACCTGGGGGCGTCTGGGTGGCTCAGTCAGTTAAGTGTCCATCTTTGGCTCAGGTCATGATTTTATGGTTTGTAAGTTTGAGCCCCACATGGTGCTGTCTACTGTCAGCACAGAGCCCACTTTGGATCCTCTGTCCCCCTCTTTCTTTGCCCCTCCCCTACGCATTCTCTCTCTCCTTCTTTCTCTCTCAAAATAAACTTACAAAAAAAAGAAAGAAAGAAAACACCTGGTTTTATGTAAATAATGGAAAATTTACAGGTGTAGAAAAGTGATAAAGTTCTTGATGCACTACTATGGAATGATATCCAAATTGTTGAAAAAAAAAAAGCGCATTATTTATACTACTCTTCCATTGTGCGTAAAAGTGTGTGTATATACATATACACACATTCACACACATATATATACACATACATATATATGAGACTATTTGTGTATATGGTAGATTGTATATCTGAGGGAATAAATGTGTATACATCCACATACATATTTATATTTGGATTTGCTTTTATGTATGCATAAAGTATCTCAGAAGATGCACAAGAAGGGGCACCTGGGTAGCTCAGTTGGCTTAAGTGTCTTATTCTTGGTTTCAGCTCAGATCATGATCTCATGTGAGTTCGAACCCTGCATCTGGTTCCACGCTGACAGTGCAGAGCCTGCTTGGGATTCTGTCTCTCTCCCCCCCAACTCTCTCTCTTATGCTCTCCCTCTCTCTCTCTCAAAATAAATGAACTTCAAAAGAAGAGAGATGCACAGGTTATCTTGAGGGATACTAATAACAGTGATTCCCTTTGCCTTTAGCTAGGAGAATAGGGTGGCTAAAAGGGTAGGAAGCAATTTTTACAGTACCCTAAATACCTTATGAATTTTTTATACCTTTTGAATTTTAAATTCTGTGAATATATTACATGTTTAAAAACTAAATGAATAAAGGAAATTTTAATTACCAGGTCCAGATGACTTTATGGTTTTTTTAAAAACCTACTTCAGGCTATAGAAAAGGTTCGAAAGCCTCCCCTACATCATTTTATTTATGAAGATTCTATAATTGCAATACCAAAACATGTAGAGAAAAAACTAGACCAGTCTCACAGATGGAGCTACAAAATAT